GGGCCGAGATGGTGTAGAGGCAGGGCAGCTGGCTTGGGACCCGAAAGTCCCAGGTTCAATCCCCAGTCACTGCACATCACGTGGCGTCTCTGGGCAGCACGTCTCATCCCCAAAATGTCCCCCGGGCGCTTTCAATAGCTGCCCACTGCACCACCTGGTGGTGGATGGGTTAAATGCAGAGACTAATTTCGCCATTGTATGGAAACATATTGTGATGACATTATTATTATTATTATATATATATATATATTTCTGCTCCATTCTGAGCAGAACAAACAACTCTCAGATTTTTTTTTTTTATGGGGGTTTCTCAGCTTACCTCTCCCCAGGGTGTAGGGATCCACTGCACCTTCTCGTTTCTGGGGCAGCGCCGTAGGACACACGTCTCTTGGGCTTTCGGCCTGTGGTGCTGCCTACACATGCTGTCGGGCACCACCACGGCTTTGGCCCCTGGATCAGTGCTGCGGCAGAACACGCTCCGTTTCCTCAGGCCACGGCCGCAGGATTTGGAGCACTGACAGTCGACAAGAAAGAAACAGCTAAAGTCAATACGGAGACAAGAAGGACATTAGAGATGCATTAAGCAAAGAGTTAACGACTCTGTGCGGATGAAATCCTCAATGTGCGCTCGTTCCCTGTAACTTTGAGTGTCTTTTCATTCTTTTCTCCTTGAGTTTCCATCCTGTTTAAGCTTTAGGTCATATTAACGGAGGTGAAATCCTTGGCACAGACACAGAGAACGCACTTGTTATTCGCCACATGCCGGATGACTAAACAGAAGGTCATTGGCTTTGATGGCAACACATTATGGCCAATCAGGAAATACAATAAACCAATAGCTCTAAGATGAATGTGACCCTGTCGGCATGTCGACCAACTGGAGGCCGAGCTGCTGTAAACTCTACATGAACTGCAGAGACGGACAGCAGAGTCAAACTGGTCCGCTGAGACTGGCGTCTGCAGTAAGCGGGACCATTTATCCGACAGCGGCCCATTCATTTATCAGACAAAAGACACACATACACACGCCTGCACATCATCATGCACAACTGCATGCATCCCAGTTGTCCTCCTGTCGCTGAAAGCACCAATTGTTTTTTTTGTTTTTTTCGTTGAGCCTGGTCTCGCCTCTGCATGACCGCCAGCTGAAATTGTGTTAGAAAACAGTGCGAGCACGCAACACGAGCGTCCCAAAGACCGATGGCTGAGCAACAAGCACATATCCGGATTGTGGCGCTCAAGGAGGCTAATCATTCCTCAACAGTTGTCGAGCTGTCACGTATGCTGTCAGGCTGTTAATGTTGCAGACAGAAAAATGAGACAAAAGGGGCTCATCAGTTCAAGAAGAACATTTCCTGCACTTAAATGTGTAACTAGTTAATATCTACAAATATTTTATTTATTTAACCCTTATCTAAATAGGAAAGGGGCAATTAAAGGAGGAAATTAGAAACCTTTTATTCAAGGGAGACCTGATCAAGACAGGCAGCAGCAAATACAAAACATAGTTAGCACATCAGTGTCAAGACAACCAATGAAAACAGCAAATTGAGAAACATTAATGCCCCAAAAAATTAAAATTAAGAACAAGTACTTAGCCTCACGTCATTTCAATTTTGAGTTAAATGTGCCCGTTTAAATTGTTCCGTATGAATCTGAACTAAACTATTTAATCTAACAGATTCTTCTTCGTTGAAACGTTTCGTCTTTTATCCAAAAAGACTTCTTCCGTCCGAGGAGCTGCAACAAACTCAAGTCTTATAAAGAGCACCAACTGAAGAAGATCGAGTTTGTTGCAGCTCCTCAGACTGAAGAAGTATTTTGTATAAAAGATGAAACGTTTCAACAAAGAAGAATCCGTCCAGAGGACCTGAATCAACCTCGTTAGATTTATCGACCTGGATTATTGAGCATGCATCAGGAAAAACCATTTGATCTTGATTCATGTTGTGCACAAAAGAGTAATCGACCCACGACTGAAACTATTTTCTGCCCATTGTGCAAAAAACATAAAACTGCAATGAATGAATAGTGAGTAGCAATGCAAAGCTGTGTCCATTGTCAGAGCTGAGATCATCTTTCATTATCTTCATTTGTCCAGCAGAGGGCAGCAGAGCATTGGATTTACCTTGTAATGGTGAGAGACTGTTCTCTTCACTTAAATTTTGTTCAGATTTGCTAACCTATCCCTGTTTTAACCTGAAATATGCATCACATTTATCCATCAAACCAACAAATAACAAGACAAAACCAAAAGCAGCACATGTGTGTTCTGAATCAAACATTTTTTCCACACACTTTAATTAAAAAGTATCTCAGATCAATGTATTTTAATTGTTTAAGCTGCCCCTGCATTTTGTCCTATATTGTGCTTGCAAAGTCATATTAAATTACAAAGAACAATAAGAATGAATTATTTGTGTTTCTTTTCCCTGATTTCACTTCATATATACAGTATATTTAGTGACAACGCTGAAGGTTGACGTGGCGTTAAATGAATGACGTGCAGTCAGTGAGGATCATAAGAAAATCTGCAGCCTAAAATATTTCAACTTTAACAGAGACAGGACAGATTAGAAAAATACCTGTTACCTGTTCTTACTGCTGTGCTGTAAATGTATGTGTGCGTACATATACCGGTATACGTATACATACCATATATGTGTATATACTGTGAATAAACTACTCAACACACAGGTTGTGACTGTTTTTGTAGCATGCATCAATCCTGGTATAGTATGTCAAAATAATTAATTTTGCCCTCATAAACAGAAACACAGTGAGAATCTCCAGCGTTGACGGGATCAGACTTTAAATTCTGTGCACAAAGTATTAAAAGTTTGTTCTTGTCAAACGCTGCAACAAACCCACCTGTGACCAGGATCCAGTGCTCCACTCTGGCGGGCAAACCTGCGTGTGGCACGGCTGGACCTGGGCGGGGGACGTGACGGGGCAGAGGGAGAGCGCCACGCCCTCCTCTTTCTGGTAGGTCACCTTCCTCAGGCAGCGCAGCGTCCTGGTCTGCTGGCCTCCTCCACAGGAGCGGCTGCAGGGCCCCCAGTCTCCTGTGGCCCAGCTGTGCGATGGAGGGAACAACAAACATTGAGGTTTAGAAACAGCCCTCAGAGAACAAGTGTTGACTAAACCTGAACCTGTTATGAGGAAGCCAACCACATGACTGAACTCCCCATCAGAAGGTCCACTATGAACTTAAACATATAGACAACTCTGCAAAGCAGCTTTCCCAAACCTCCTCAGCCATCCACAGAAGGCAACACCATATTAGGCTAAAGGCAGATGTGAGCGCTCTCATGTTTCCTTCTCCTTTCTTGTTGTCCCTTTTCTCTCCTCACCTGTCCCCTCTGCCCTCATCACGTTAGTTCAAAGCCCTTCACACTTGTCCCGTGCTCTTTGCCACGTCTTTGAATCCTCACGTTGCCTTTGACCGGATGAAAGCCAACTTCTGTCTCTAAAATAGCTCCTGTCTTGGCATCAGAGCGACGTTTCAACAAACGAGTGGTTTGACAACCACATGCTTAGAAGAAGGGAGAGGGAGGAGATGGGCAGATGGCTCTGTCCAGTTCTGAGACGACAAGCTACCACAGAGACTATTCCTCCGGGCCGCCGACCTGCTTCAGAGGAAGAAGAAAAAAAAAGGGGGGCTTTCATTCCCTTTCAAATGCCACAGAGAAATGAAACAGCAAGACTGAGCTGCAATTTGAAAACCGGAACGTTGTGGACCGCTGGGAGCTGAAAGCAATGATTTGGGACTTCTGGCTCGAGAACTGTTTGTTTCTTTTTCTCTCCGTTTCACCAAATTATAAATAACAATATATCATTGGGGGAAAGTGGCTGATGTGCCACTCCGCTTTGCTGCAAAACCACCACAGACCTAGCTATAATTTGTATATCTTAGATTTCTCAAAAGCAAACATATGTTGAGATAGACAGCGTGCAACACGATCCTGCTTGGATTGTAGAGGTCTACTTGCACGGCTGCAGCAACAGTGGCAGTAATGGGTGACCATCAAAACCAACAATATCAGACGAGGAATCTTCTGCTGCTTTGATTGGGAGGTTTTGACCAAAATGGCTTTAAGTTTGTTGTTTCTCAACATAAAATGGTCATAGTCTAAAACTCAAGCATGAACGCAGCTGAGTGAAAAACATTCCTTCAAGAAATTGTAGGTCTTTAAACATGATGACTGTTTTTGGGTTTTTTTTTTTTTTTGTAATTCAGGTGAGAATGAACTTCCTGCTGCTTTAATCTCAGGACACCATCATTTAAGGTACGGGTGTCCAAAGTGCGGCCCGAGGGCCATTTGCGGCCCTTGGAGTTATTTTGTGCGGCCCACAGCTGCAGTGTAAGGATGGTGTCATTTTGGCCAGCAGGCTTAAGAGGTCGATGCAGAGTTTCAGAAAATTCATTGGTAATCCTTTTTTATATAATGTTTAGGTTTGACAGGAACATAAATGAAAAACAATCTTAAAATGAGCAATATTAAGCAAAATACAAACCTTTGGCTATAATCTTTTTATTTTCACTTCATGGTGCAAAGCAACAAAAACCTTTACTGATTTCTACCAGAAAGGAGACTTTTAGATAATGATTCATAAAACTTGACTAACTAGTAGTTGATAAAATAATCAAGAGGGAAATTTGATATTTTTAAATGAATATAACGTGGTATCATCTACATACGAGTTCATCAGCTTCATCAAACCTTCTATGAATCTGATGTAGCGACTGACAGCTGGACAATTTTTCTGAACTTCCTTCAGCCTTTTGGGTCGTCCATGGTCCAAAAGGCTGATCGACCCCCTTTTAAAAGGAAACTTACTCAAATTACACTTTTATTGCTGAGAACAGACTAAAATGAACTTTCCAAACACATGAAAACAACAAACATAAACCCAACAAATCAAATCCTTTTTAATAAAAAAAATATAAGCTTAGTGTTTATGAGGCTTTTAATGTTTTGGATCTACAACTATTTAAAATCTTTTTACACCAAAATCATTAAACTTTTGTCCTTTCTACAAAATATTGTTCACGTTGAGTTAAATTCCCATTTTTGTCGCCCACTTTCCATACCCCTGTTTTAAGCTATTCACATCGTTGTTTATGGATTTTACCAGAGCAGCATCTAAATGTGCAGAATTTTTCACAAGTAAGTTTTAGTTGAAGGCTACACGTAACAACTTTGGTCACTATCCCTGTCATGTTGTAGAGAGATTACTCAGAACAAGCCCTGGTACTGGACTACATTACATCACACTTTTATTTTCCCAGACTGAGAAACCCATTGTAGGAAAAATGGAAATTAGGGCTTTCCTCAAAACCACTTGGGCAGGTGTGCTGAGGAACCATCAAACCAGTCATTTTCGGCTTGAACGTTAATCAGTATGAAGCCCCATCCACCCTGAAGGGCCGGGGTTTGAACTGAACGGACTCAGAACAGTAAGACATTAAGAGCAATGATAATTAGGAATGCTAAAGATAACCAAGATCTGAGGTAAAATACAGTTTTGTTTCCTTTTTCATACTGTTTCTTTTATTTCTCTTTTTTTTAAAAATCTGATAAATCTATAAAAATCTTGTTTTTCTTTGGAAAAAAACAACAACACTTTCATTACATGGATCAAAATCTATTTAGTTTTATAAACTCCCACCTAGACAGATTTTTATTATCTATATTTGTAAGTTAATCTTACTGAAATCAAATTGTGTCTGAGAAAGATTTTCCTAACAAGTAGAAAAATTATGCTTTACTGTAAATAAAAAAAACTGTTTAGTTTGGACAAACATTATAACTGCAGAATAATTTCACTTTGTAGTAAAATACAAATAATTAGAATTTAACCATGTCTTACATACCGTATTTTCCTGCGTATAAGTCACTTATTTTTTCTAGATATGCCAGTCCTGTGACTTATACACTGAAGCAACTTATATGTTTTTCCATATTCATAATGCAATTTTTGACTGAATGTTCATTCATACTGACATGAACCTGAGTAAACATTACCATTTGCAGCTGCTAGAGGGCGCTCTAGGCTATATGTTGTTCCTATGCCGCTACCCCCGCCAAACATTGACCATTAAAATTAATTTATTAAGGAAAAAGTGAAATTGTGACACACCTTTGCTATAACCTCGAGCAAACAGATACGGTAATTGTTTTAAAGTGTTAATCTTGTTAAATTTCGAAGAACTGCAACAGCGAGTCCTCCCGTGCGCACGCGCTTCACTCAGCTGGTGCGGGCAAAAGAATGCTAGAGAGCTCGCGGCCATAGCCACGAGTCATCTGCGTCCCTGCTCCAACGGCGGAGCGAGGAGGAACACCTGGAGCAAACATGTCTATTTGCTCAGGGTCAAAACAGCTTCATTTCGCCTGGGCACCGTGTCGCCCAGGCGAAATGAAGCTGTTTTGACCATTAAACTGCATTTATTTAGGAAAAGTTAAACTGAGACACAACTTGCTATAATGCTGAGCAAACCAATAATTGTTTTTAAGTGTTACCATGGGCATCAGAAGCATCTACAATGTGTGTGTGTGTGTGTGTGTGTGTGGGGGGGGGGGGGGGGGAGAGACACACTATAATCCATCCATTCATTATCTTAACCCGCTTATTCCATTTTGGGTCACGGGGGTCGCTGGTGCCCATGTCCAGCAATCACTGTGCGAGGGGCGAGGTACACCCTGGTCCAGTCCAAGTCCATCACAGGGCCACATAGAGACGGACAACCATTCACTTTCTCACTCACACCTAGAGTTAAGAGTTACCAATCAGCCTAACATGCATGTTTTTGGTCTGTGGGAGGAAACCGGAGTACCTGGAGAAAACCCACGCATGCACGGAGAGAACATGCAAACTCCACCCAGAAAGGCCCCTGGACTGGGGTTTGAACCAAGGACCTGCTTGTTGAGAGGCAGCAGCTCTACCAGTTGCGCCACCGTGTTGAGACACTATAGTGTGTGTGCAAAAAAAGTGTACACTAGTGTACAAAAAAGCAACATTTCATCTAGATGTCCTTACTTTTAATTCCATTTAAAGCATGTATCTCACCAAGTTTGTGTAAATTCAGCTGTGGTTTTAAAGACATTTCATCTTTAATACACTTTAACACACAGACTCAGATCTGCACTATTTGTGTTTATAGAGAAATAAAATAACATCACCACTAGACGTTTTTACTTGTGTTCAACACTACTCATCTAAAGGATGTTTCTCACGAAGCTTGAGGACAATAAGGTGTGGAGTTTTAAAGACATTTTAACTTTAATGCATCTTAACACAGCATCTCTTACACCTGTAGCGTCTTACAGTGTCACAGTTACTGCTAAGCTAAGATGCTACAGACATAGTGGTCCACTTCTCTCAAAGCATCCTCCTAACATGAATATATGTTTATGATCAACCCCCCAGTCAAAAACTGCCTGCACTAAGCTCGCTAAACTGGCGAGCGAGTAACACAGAGGTGTCTCCACCTCCTCTACCTGTGAGCGTTCTCTGCCGAGGGAGGAGGAGACGCAGAACAGAAACACTGCAGGCAGCAGGCTGATAGAGAGTTGGAGGTAACCAGGAAAACCTGGAGTGGAGTTTTAGTGGTACGAGTATTCTCCTATTAATCAAGTGGAATGGATTTGTTCACGAAGAAATAGAAACAGAGCCGACTGAACTAATGTTTTATAGTAAAAGTGTGGGAGGGTCCAAATTAACGTTTTTTTATGTGGGGGGGACATGTCCCCTTCACATATAATGGTTGCGACGCCTATAAGGGTTACTCTTGTTAAATTTCGAAGAACAGCAACAGCAAGTCTTTCCGTGCGTGCTTCCGCAGCCACCCATAGATTTTTGGCAGCCAGCAATTTTTGGCACGACACAGGCCCACGTTTCCTGGGGGTCAGCAGTGATGCATAATAAATGCAACGGGTCAGCGATGACACAATAAACGTGACGTATACTCCAAGTGACTTGTATATGTGTTTTTTCCTCTTCATGATGCTTTTTGTGACTGTTGCGACTGGTGCGACTTATACTCCGGAGTAATTTATAAACTGGAACATACGG